ATATAATATTCGCACTAATTGTTGGTTAATATTGTCACAAAACCTTTGATCAACATGGGCCCGAAAAGGCAAATAGTCCACATTTGCATCGTTTGTGCATAGCTTTATTCACACAGTCCAGACCAAAGCCTATTACGATATTAAAACTTATTAGTAACTTCTTTTTAGGATTTATATAGTTTCGTTTTTTGGGTTTCAGCATTATTCTCCTTATTTCGGCAGCTTGACCTTTCAAACACCCAACTTTTGCCTCAACAATATTTTCCAACACCTATTAACCTTTGAACCCTTTCACTCTGTTTTATGATTTCATTGTAGAATGTCTTAAATTCTGCTAATTGTCAATTTGCCATGAGAAAAACATTCAGCCTCTTTGTGAACACCAAGTTTTAAATGATTAGGACCACCAATCTGAAACAAAATCGTTGCTGCCAATCAATTGTTAGTGTGCCTATTTCCCTTTGATACAGATGCCGTTGCCCCATGATCATTTTTACTCTTCTAGGACACACTTTGCCTGTAATTCATGCACTCGCAATGACCAAATTGAAGAAATCATTAAGTAAAAAAAGTTTGCTTCACATTTCGAGCCCATCTGAAAGGGAGGACGGTCCCTACATGCGAGGGGGCACCATACTTGCGCGCCACCTCGCGTGTCATCTCTGCATGGACACGTAGCAGGTCTCACAGACGTCGCAGCGGAAGCCGTGTCTGTTGGAGGTCATGCGTGTAGGTTTGGCAAGCGTAGCCGCCGAGCTTGATTCACTATTACTTGGACTGATTGCTCGCCTTTGGCACGTGCCACTTCTCACATCCGTCTACAGGGCAGGAACCCACAAGTCATTCACCTATCCGGCCCGCTACAACCGTGCGCCGACCACCCACTCAGATCACTTGTTTGACGCGAATGTCGGATGCCAACTGCTTGGAGAGCTGTGTGTGAGTAATTGACGCGAAATACCGTCCCCGACTTGGGCGGGCAGTAGCCGCAACTCAGGTCATGCCGTGACGGGATGTTCGTAGAGACGAACTTGCTGAGAAATTCGAAGTTGTCGCCAAAGGGTTATCGTTGGTGGCATTTATCGCGCGAAAACCATAGGCGTAAAACTATACACACTGGGTGAGCCGACTGAGTTTAATGGATCTAGGCAACAATATCACAGGAGGGAGTGGTTACCTCACGCAAACGGAAAGGCCATAAAGACACACACGTCACGCGTGATGAACTCACGCTACGCTCACGCACATCACTGGTGATCAAGCAGAACCAATTGAGGAGTTGTAACATCAAAGTTAGCTGGCACGTGCTAAAAGATTTTTCAATTTGCAATTGGTTAAAACTTTTCAAAGCAGTAGAGAAAGAGACAGTAATTAAGGTCAATTTCATGAGAGAGGAGAGAGAGAGCGAGAGAGAGAGAGATGAGAGACCGCGAGAGAGAGAGCAGAGAGAGAGAGAGATAGACGAGGAGAGGAGAGAGGAGGGAGAGAGCAGAGAGAGAGAGAGAGAGGGGGGGGGAGAGGGAGAGGGAGGGAGAGAGAGGGCGAGGAAGAGGGAGAGGAAGAGGGAGAGAGAGAAAGAGGATTGGGGAGGAAAAGGAAATGAACAGGAGAAAGAGACAGAAAAAGAGAGAAAGACAACTTACGCAAGCAAGACGCCTAGTTCTTCATCGTGAACTTCCCTATAATGAAGCCACGATTTAAACTCCAGTCTCTGTGGATATTTTGCCTCCATTCTGAAATGCTGCTTGATGTCATCAGGATCACGAATCACCACCATGTCTAAATTCATTATCTTGATTTGGAATATTGGACCAAGGTCCTGATACCAATCCTCTGTCAATTTGTAAGTTTTCTTGGCATAAGCCAGTCCTAAAAAAATGTATCTAATCATAGATATAGAATAAAGATCTTTATTCTATATCTATTATCTAATGTAATTATAGGTAATGATGAAAGAATGATCATACCCCAACCCTCTATCTCAGCAGGGGACCAACATTTCAAGAAAGAAGGTCCTGCTATATCATAATTACTTCACCTTTCCTTACCATGCACTTCCTTTTCCCTTGAATTTCTGCCTGCTCTACTTAATCATGTCTGCACCAAAGTCTGTGTCATAATTGGGTGGATTTAACCATATAGATATAGAATGAAGATCTTTTTCATTCTATATCTATGATGTTAACCATATGATTTAACATATAAATTTTGTCGCTTTGTGAGCATTCACGTGCGTAGGCCTAATATGCCAGAGAGAAAATCCAATATATAACATAAAAGCTTTGAACATCTGATAGAGTTTGATAGAACGTGGAAAAACCTATAGCTATCATCTCGTCGATTTTTCCATAGAGTAAACCAAGCTTAACATGCGGAGAATGTGCAGCCGTGGATTGAGACCATGTACAGTCACTGTAACAGTGTATGACTGGGAATTCAACATAAACGAATTACGAAGTGGCTATATATGCCTGGCAGCCGGGTACGGTCTTCGATTTACTAAATGCCCGGCAGTTTTTAATTTTCGGTGATTTCTCAAGTAAACAGTGTACTACGTGATCCAAAGTATATATTCTACATTTGTTTAGAAATGTCAAGCGATTTTCGTTAGAGCTGTATATTCGAACTAGCCCAATTCTCCTAGCTTCGGATCACTGAGCGAACGAACTCGCAATCGACACTTAGAAAATATCCGACGGTTGTGCGCAAATGCAGACGTTATAACTCCGCTTTGCTAATCTGAGGGTGCGGGTTTAACCCCATTACTGGGGTCTGCGTCGCCTCAGACTAATCCGACGGCTGCCGGGAACGGTCTTCGATTTCCTAAATGCCCGGCAGTTTTTAATTTTCGGTGATTTCTCAAGTAAACAGGAGGGTTAGGGTTAGGGTTAGGGTTAGGGTTATACTCATGGTTATAGGGTTAGGGTTAGGAATAGCTCTAGTAGTAGTACTATAGCCCGCTTACATTAACTGCCGCTGGCAGCGGCGCTATAGTACTAGAGCTATGTTAGGAACTGCCAGGCATTTAGGAAATCGAAGACCGTGCCCGGCTGCCGGGCACATACTAGCCACAGCGAACATTTTTTTATTTGTTTACAATATAAATATTCGAAAATACATTTTATTAACTCTGTTCTGATTAAGTGCCTAGGAATCTACAAATTAGTCCGACTACGGCATAGGCCTACTCTTGATAGCAAAGACCCGTTACAAAAATTATATGCAATGTCTTGGATCTATACCGTGAAAAAAATGGCCTAAGTAAGGCAGTTTGGCCTTAGATGGGATACTTGAGTACGGCTTTGCGTCGACTTCAGGACAATTGTTTTCTTTGTTCTCTTTGTTTGCTACTGTCGTGCTTTTGTACCTCACCGGTGGACACAATGATTTCACGGCAGCGTTGTGAATATATTGCATTTTTAACCGCAACAGCGGCCGAAAATCCATCTTCGGAACCATGCTTACGTTTGTCTCGAGCAAGTTATGTTCCTCCATAGACTGGTACCTTTTCTCTACTCTGTTAATGTATCTATATTTAATATAATTATATATTTAGAGCAGAGACAGCGTACCAGTCTATATAACTAGACTTTTAGGCGGTGTAGCACGAAATTTCTGACTTGCGAAATATCTGAGATAGGATGCCTATGCGCATGCGTACGCGTATGCGCATGCGTACTTGGCATGCGTCCCGACCCCACTAATCACAGCCACTGATCTCTATAATATAATTATATAGATATATTAGATTATATTATAGAGATGATATCAGTGATCACAGCTCGTCTTTGTGTACGAAATTTCTGACCTGCGAAATATATGATATAGGATGCGTATGCGCATGCGCATGGCGATTTCCACTTCAGCTAAGACACCAGCTGTGGGAGAAGGAGGAGGGGAGAAGCTGGTGGAGAAGGAGGAAGGGGAGAAGGAGGAGGAGGAGAAACTGGTGGAGAATGAGGAAGGGGAGAAGGA